TTTTATCAACACGCTTAGCACTGTTTAGGTCAGATGACCCGTGAAATTCGGAATGTCTTTATTTATTTAAAGCTGGAGTAATGACTTGAAGAAAAGACGCCTTGAGGCCAAAGATTATCAGGGGTTCATACAAAAAGATGGGAAATGCGGCATGTAGCTCTCGTTCCTTTTTGTTGTTTCTAATCACAATACTCATAGCAAACAGAGTAAAAATATTTACAGATAATTAGACCGCGTAAAATTCAAAACAAAGTAATCTCTACGCAAAGCAGTTCTGCCATCATTTAGCTACGTATGGAACTGCGATTTGGCTGTGATTTTAAACCCATTTCTTGAACGATCTTCGTCCAAACAGGACATTGGTGTGTATCGATATGGTATTACGCGTTTTCAACTGTTGTGATTTTGCTCCTTTTGTTCAGCAATTTCGCATTTAGTTTCTCAAGCACAATTTTTTCGAATTTTTAAACTGGATGACTTGTGTAATTTTTCTGTTTTTTACAAAATAGACAAAGTTATATCAGAAAATTCTGGTTTACAACCCAGGCATGCCTGAGTATATGTGAAAGCAGAAGACCATGAAAACCAGTTTTTGGCTAACGTACATGCTCAATCCACGAAGAGTAGGCAGGAAAAGTTTTGAATTGGAAGCACTCTGAACTTGAAAACAGCGATATGGACAGATTCTATGCAGCAAGCTAGCACATCATCATTGTGTTAAGGCGATCGGTGAAAAATGGGACATTTGAAGAATAACTGCAGATTTCTTAAGAAAAAGATTTGCTGAACTCTCTAATTTTGGTTGATGTTAGAACATGTTGTTCTCTCTCAGGAATCGCTATATAAAGTTATTTACATGACTTATGTTTTTTTACACTTGCTGAATCGCACCATTTTCTACGAATTACGAACTTCGAGCACTATCTATGCAGTTTTATTAGCATATCTAACGTAGCACTGTCAATGAGTGATGGGACAGTCAACAAACCTGCATCTTACTGGCTTCAACGCTTAAATTCAGGAGATATGGTCATTAGCAGTTCCGAGAACAGAGATACTTACTATTTACTTCATTGCAAGTGAGCGCATGTTTTCTGGCCACCGCCTAATAGGTCTTTTAACGCTCTATCCATCCAAGTGGTTTACCAGAATTTTCTTCGGAAAATATAGGTTGAAACATGATTTTTTAAGTTTTTTCTTGCGCAGAAATTGCAATTCCTC